GAGAGAGTGAGGAGGGCTGGAGAGTGTGAGGAGGGCTGGAGAGAGTGTGAGGAGGGCTGGAGAGGGAGCTTCAGCAGTTGAGCGCATCGGCTGTTCTTCCAGTGCAGCCAGGTTCCACTGCCGGCACCCACATGGTGGCTCACAGCAGTTTATATCTCCAGTCCCAGGGGATCTGATGCCTTTTTCTGACCTCTCCAGGCACCAGGCTTATACATGAAGCACACACATACATTCAGGCAAAAACGTCTGTACACATAAAATGACAGCTCTAAAAAATAAGAACAAAAAAATCGGAGTATGAAGAGCTACATCTAAAGCTTTCTTTTCTTTTCCTTTTTGACAGATTCTGGGAGGCAGAGGCAGTGAGTTCAAGGCCAGCCTGGTCTACATAATGAGTTCCAGGACAGCCAGAGCTACAGAGTGAGACCGATTCTAGGGAAAAAAAAAAAATTAGAGAGAGAGAGAGAGAGAGAGAAGAAAATTCCCTAAGAACTTGTCTATGAGGCATTTTCTCAGTTGAGGTTCCCTCCCCTCAGATGACCTTATCTTCTGTCAAGATGACATGAAACCAGCCAAGACACTCACACAACATAAAATAAAACAAATAAATCTTTTTCAAACATTAAAAAGGAAAAAGACTACCACTATGTAGCTCAGGCTGGCTTCAACTCAAATTCTACTGCCTTTGCCTCCCAAGTGCTGGTATCACAGCATGAACCACATCTGATTCCCTATGCAATTTGGGGAGAAGGATGAAATAAAGTGCCACGCTAGCAGCTTGGTATGGGTTGAAAATCAGTGTTGCTCAGGCTAGGCTTGATTTTGTAGCAATCCCATCTCAGACTCAGTGTTGGCATTAAGACCATGATCCTCTCTTGTATCCAGTCCATCACCAAATCCTATCCAATTTACTTTCCAGCCATCCCAAGATACTTTGAAACTATCCTCAGTCCCACCTCCAGCTTGGTTCTCACTGACATTGCTGATCAGAACTACTATTTGCCTCCAGTGAACCTCGCCTCATCTCTCCAATCTCATAACACCATTAAGCCTGAAGAATCAAGCCATCTCCTCCTCCATATCCCACATCCTGGAGGGGAGAGAAAACTTTCATTGGCTTCCTACTCATTTTAAAGTTAAGGCTGCAACTCTTCATGACCTCCAGGTTCATCTTGTACCATACCTCCCTTCAAGCTCTCTCTCAGCACACTGGCCCTTTGTGTCTCTTGGTCATCTTCTTCCCAAATGATAGGACACTAGTGCACACGCTGTTCTGTGCAGAACGTTTTGCCTTCCTCTCTTCCCCTAATCAGAACTGTCCCTTCAGAGAGCAACAGCTCGGGTGTCTTTTCCTCTGAAAATCCTTCAAGCTTCTTAGTTACTCATAACATGAGGCATCGCTCTCTTAACTAGTCTTCCAATCAACTGGGGAGATTTGTTTAACAATGTTTCCCACACACACCCCAAGAGACACTAAAGCCCTGAGGTTGGGGACCACGTTTCTTCAGTGTCCCCTAACGCTCTGCATAATAAATATCGCTTGTACCGCTTACGAGAAGGCCTGGTACACTAGGATGAATCTTAGATTTCTCAACAAAATTGTACTTTGGAGGAGCCCTCAGATATTTCCTCCACCACTGTCTGTCTGGGGGCATAAATTAAAGCCCTTAAAAAAGACGGCTGAACCAGTGACAAAGTCCGCCTCCTCAGCCAAACCTGGCAGTGAAGCCGGGAGACCGGGAGTCGGGCATCATTCCCTAGGAACGCTAGCACAGCGCTGGCCGCAAAAGCGGCGTTGTGCCGAACAGCCTGTCAAGGGACAGCGGCCTTAGGGTTCGAGTCCCCCGGCCAGAGAGAGCTCAAAGCTCCGCTCTAGCCTGCCAAGGGACTACTTTTTCCAGCGGTTCCCCCCACCCCCCACGGTAGGGCCGCCAGCTGAGAATGGTGGGCTCAGGCCTATCACCTAGTCCCAGCTTCCAGATTGGAACAGCCACCCGCCTCGTTCCCGCACACACTCACTCGGCGCCGTCTCCTAGCCTGGCACCCGCTTCATCGCCAGGAACGCCAAATCGGCTCCGCTTGTTCTCAACCCACAATGCACGGCGCGTCCAGGAGGGACGCCGGCTTCGCGCTCCAATCCCAGAATTGAGCTCCCCTGGCGTCATCCAGAGGGGACCAATCGCAAGAGCGTATTCAGAGGGCGTTGCAGAAGGGAATGTTGGGAGCTGATTGGTTGCTCCCCTCCGGAAGTTCTGGAGGAAGAACTCAGTCGGAGCCAATCGCGCGGCGCCTGCGGCCGGCGGCGCGGTCAGTGGCGGCGCCGAGCAAAGTGGCTACCGCCATGATCGAGCAGCCGAAGCGCAAGGGCCCGGAGCTACCACTGGTTCCCGTCAAGCGGCCGCGGCATGAGTTGCTGTTGGGAGCGGCGGGGTCCGGCCCCGGAGCCGGACAGCAGCAGGCAACTCCGGGAGCCTTGCTGCAGGCGGTAAGTGAGGAGTCATCTTGCTTTCGGCCCTCTGTTCCTCCCCCTTTGGACCGTACCGGCGCGGGGGGAACGGAAAGACAGTGGACCTGAAGTTAAAGCAGGTGTCTCTAAAGGTGCCCTGTGTTCTGAGTCTGTTTCATACGTGTTTCCCTGTTGGACCCCTGTTTTCAGCCTTTCAATCGTCCTGTGAAGTAGCACTGAAGCATTTAAAACCTTGGCTTCAAAATCAAGAGCCAAACTTCCGCATCCTAAATCTTCAGGGATTCAGCATAAAATAAACATTCAGGAAAGTTTATAGAATGGACGAATGAATGAATGAGGGAGAGTGGAAGCAAGGGAAATAAATGAGCCAGGCTCGCTTTGCTACCTGGTACAATTTACTTTTCTCTTTCTCAGAATTTGCATTATTAACAATAATTAACATCCGTTGGCTCTTGTGTTAGATGTTTTGCATGTGAAATTTCCATTAATCTTGATAACAGCCTAAAAGGAACTGTTATTTTGAATACGGGGAAAGCAGACTTCTTTGGAGTCAGAACCTATGCTTCCAACGGCATGTTGTAAAATGTCATCATACCTTCTCTAGTATAGTAAGGAAAATAAATGTGCCTCCTGCCCCAACTCTTTAAATTCTGCTGGTGTGGTCCTTAAAATACATAATAAAGTTAGTTGTGTGGGGCTCTAGTTGCATCTTCCCAGAAGAAGGCTGACAAGAAAATTTTGAGGGAAGGAGTTAGAGGCCAGCCTGCAACTCCACGCTGTCACAATCTTACTTGTCAAATAAGAATAAGTGTACTACCAATAATCTTGAAATCGCTTTGTTAGATTCCAGTATACTAATTTATTTTTTTAACATAGCAAGATCCCTGTCTCCAAAATAAATAAATGAAAAACTGGACACACAAATTTATAATCATCACTCAAGAAGGATCGTGGTTTCTAAGCCAGTGTAGGCTATTATAGCAAAACTCTGTTAAAAGAAAGAAGAAAAATAACTGTAACCACAATCTTTACCTCCTCGTCAGACCATTTTTATGTCATCTGGCATCATTGCAGGAGGGGCTTAATTAGTATTTTTGGTTTTGTCTTTGAATTAAGGATCAGTTATTAATCCAGTAGCCAGGGGAATTGTCAAAACATTAAGTCACATTATTCTCTGCTGAAAACATTGTGTTGGCTATTTCATTCTGAATTTTTAAAAAATCAAATTCTCTGTAATAACTCTTTTTTTTTTTTTTTTTACCATGCTCATCTATCAGTTTTCTAGCATATCATCATGCTCAAGTAACACCAACATATGTGTTCTTACATTTTGTTGTTGTTGCATTTGCTGGAATGTTATTCCAAATGCCCACATGGTTAACTATTGGCTCTTTCAGTGGTGCTTTCCTGACCACTGTATTTTAAGCTGAACTACCCTGCACTCTGGAGCCCATATTATTTCTTTCCATTGCACACAGCACTAGGTGTTTGGCTTGTTTTTTGTTTTGTTTCCTTTCCCTTTCTCTCACACTTTCCACTAGAATGCAAGGTCCGTTGTTTTATTGAGTGCTGTTTCTCCAGTGCCTAGATATGTCAGGTTTACTTTTATCTGTGTGTATCTGTATGCATGTTTATCCCCTGTGTGCGTGGGGGGGGGAGCGGTGGCCCTTCTAGGCCAGAAGACATTGTTGGGTCCCCTGAACCTGGAGCTACAGGCACTTGAAAGCTGCCTTGTGTGGGTGCTGGGAACTGAACCCAGGTCTTTTGGAAGAGCAATAAGTGCTCTTAACCACTAAGCCATCTCTGTGGCCCACATGTACTATTTTTTTTTAAAATAAATACACTGGATGAATATAATCATAGTACATTATTTGCATTTATGGATATTTCACAATGAAACCCATTACTTTGTATAGTTAATACATGATAATAAAAATAAGTTAGTATACTGGGATCTGCCAAAGCGATTTCAGGCTTATTGGTAGTACACTTATTCTTATTTGACAAGTAAATTTGTTGGCCCAGAGTTGGAAGAATTGGCAAACCTAGGCTTAGTGTCCAAGACCATAATCAGAAACCACTTTGCCAATTCTAGCATAGAGATACACACTTGTAATACCAGCACTCAGGAGGACTGAAAATTTAAGACCAGCCCTGCTCACACCTCAAAAATCTATTTTGCATAATGAGTTGTCCCATGCAGGGTTTTGCAAAGGCTGGTTGGGTGAGCTCGAGTCTGAGAAACGTTGCTCCCAGACCTTCATTTCTTTGGGAAAAAGAACCATGCCAGCAATGAAGGGAACTCAAATGGCGATGGGGCTTTGACAGAATGCAGTGGAGCTTATGGAGCACTGCGGGGAGATGGCAGCTGCCTGAGTTTGAGTGTTGAAGACTCCAGGGAGGAAACATTTAAAAGGAGCCAAATAGGAGGAGAGCTCTGCGAGCTCTGTTAAGATCCTGAGGTATAAATGAGGTCAGCATGATTAAGCGGTCAAAAGTTGGTTGTGGAACAAAAGCAGAGTTAGGCAGGAGAGTACTGTGGTGGGCACACTGGAATGTCCAAGGGCTTATCCAGCGAGAGGCAGGAGTTCTGTGGACAGAGGTGCTATTCCCTAACCCAAATGAAACGCACCGCCTCCAACTTCACAGCGCCCTTTGCCTGTGTACAGTGGCTGCCTCACACTCCTCTCTGGTTTAGGGACCTCCCAGATGTTCCTCCCTTCAAGCCCCAATCATGTTGCTCTCGGGACACGAAGGAGAAGTGTACTGCTGCAAGTTTCACCCCAATGGATCCACCTTGGCATCTTCAGGATTTGACCGACTCATATGTAAGGCACAGTTTTTGAATCTTGAATTACTGCTCTCTGCTAAAGTTTTTTTGTTTTGTTTTGTTTTTTAAATTTCGGATGCCATAGAAGGCATCAGGCATCAGTCTAAATTTGCAAGTTAAATTATAATGATAATGTGCTAAAACAGGTATCAAAATATTGAGCAATCATTTAGGTACAACCATAGGTCCATATGGTAAACAAAGAGGAAGGAAACATTTTACTAATTGGGTTGCTTTGGTTGGAGTTATATATTCTTCTCTCTCTCCTCCTCCTTCCCACCCCTCCCCCTTCTCCCTTCTCCCTTCCCCATTCTCCTCCTATCACTCTGATGTAGCCCCAGCTGTCCTCAAACTGGCTATGTAATTAATGAGAATGGCTTTGAAACATCTAATCCTCCTGCCTCCGCCTCCCAATTGTTGGAATTAGAGGCTTGTGCTACCAGGAGCAGCTAAAGATGGATTTTTCATGGAGACAGCTCTTGAGAGCATCAGTTTAGTGACAGTGAGTTACTGAGAGTTAAGAGGAAAGAAAGAACTTTTCTACTTATGAAAACATGAGACCTTAATCTATACCTAGGATCCTGGTATATGAGGGAGAAAGATGGGATCCCCATGTGGTGACTCACTTAAATCATCTGCTACCAGGTTCTCAGCTACTCATTAGGAATACCCATATTTGAAAAAATAAGTGCAGTTTGGAGAGATGGCTCATCTGTTAGAGCAGATGTTAGCAGGGAGTGGTGGTACCTTTAGTCCCAGACCTCAGGAGGCAGAGGTAGAAGAGGTAGATGGATCTCTGAATTTGAGGCCAGCCTGGTCTACACAGGCTGGAGGGAGTTCCAGAACAGCCAGGGCTACACAGAGAAACCCTGTCTGGAAAAGAAAAGGAGAAAAAGAGCACTTGCTGCTCTTCCAGAGGACCTGAGTTCAGTTCCCAGCTCCTGACATCAAGTGGCTCATAACTGCCTATAATACAGGTTCAGGGGATCCAATGCTCTCTTCAGACCTCTGAGGGTGTCTGTGCACACACACTTCCGTACACATCAATAAATACTAATCTTTTTAAAAAATAAATAGAAAAATGAAGCTGAGGTGATATAGCTCAATGGTTCTGTTTTCAGGTTGTCTACAGATTCTGAGCATATAAGAAAAAGTATCAACATTTTAAAAATTAAAGCTGAGGGGGGTTGGAAAGATAGTTCAGCAGTTAAAGTACATATATTGCTCTTGTAGAGGGCCCAAGTTCGGTTCCCAGTACCTACATGGTGGCTCACAACCATCTCTAACTCCATTTCCGTGGATCTAGCTTCCATTTCTGGTCTTCCTAGGCAGACATGCATATGATGTACATACATACTTGCAGACAAAACACTCATACACATTTTATCTAATAGGTAAGCCTGAGAAAATAGCTTAATCAGTTAGGGCCTGAGTCAATTTGCAGAACTCATGTAAAGCCGTATAGGGCAGCATGTACTTTCATTCGTATCTCTGGGGAGGTGGACAGGTAGACTCCTGGGCCCATCAGCTGGCCAGCCTAATCTGCTTGGCAAGTTCCTGGTCAGTGAAGATATCAGGTGGATGGTGCCTGATGAACAGCACCCACAGCTGTCCTCTCTGGTTTCCATACATGGGCATACATGTATATTCACACCTGAGCACATGAGCAGAGAAGATTGGTCTCATTGGTAGAACCAATGATGTTCCATGGGCATATAATTTCAGAAATATCTTTCTGGTTATTTTACATTAACCTTTCTCTGACTGATGATGGGTTTTCTTCTTAACAGTATTGTGGAATGTCTATGGTGACTGTGATAACTATGCTACATTGAAGGGACATAGTGGAGCGGTGATG